AAACAATATTTGAAACACTAATTACAGTCCAAATAGCATCCATTTACACTTATTGACACCTCTTGCTTAAAGGGATAGTTCACCCAAAAATGAAAATACTGTGAGCATGTATGGAATAGAATGCTAGTTGACGGTAACCATTGACTTTTTTTTTCTTCCATACTATGGAAGTGAATGGCTACCATTAACTGTTTGCTTACCAACATTCTTCAAAATCTCTTCTTTTGTTTTCAGCAGACGAAAGAAACTCATACAGGTTTGGAACATGTAAATGATGATAGAATTTTACATTATTTTATACATTATTTCAATTTAGTTTAAACAATATTTGCAATACAGTCCAAATAGCATCCATTTACACTTTACACTTCTAATTAGCAGGACAGATCCATGGGTCATGGGTCAGATATTACTTAAAAGAACTTTATTTATTTATTTATTTATTTATTCATTTGTTTATTTATTTATCAAACCAGAAGTAGGAATTGTGGGAAATGGAGTTGGATGTATGTACTCAATGCAGCCGAGACATGATTTTTAAATCGCACAGTAGACTACAACTACAGTACCAAGTAAATTAATCTATTAATTAACCTCACACACTCAAACAAGCATGCAACAAACTCTTGCTTCACACAAACAAGTGGCTCTGTCTCACATGCGTGCAAAACTATATCGCAGACATGCTACTGTGGTAAATTCATTCATCGTACAGACGTTTTTTTTTTTTTTTCATTGCACGTGCAACATGTGCTTCTAATTAGCAGGACAGATCCATGGGTCTTTGGGCAGATATTACTTAAAAGAACTTTATTTATGTATTTATTCATTTGTTTATTTATTTATCAAACCAGCAGTAGGAATTGTGGGAAATGGAGTTGGATGTATGTACTCAATGCAGCCGAGACATGATTTTTAAATCGCACAGTAGACTACAACTACAGTACCAAGTAAATTAATCTATTAATTAACCTCACACACTCAAACAAGCATGCAACAAACTCTTGCTTAACACAAACATGTGGCTCTGTCTCACATGCATGCAAAACTATATCGCAGACATGCTACTGTGGTAAATTCATTCATCGTACAGACGTTGTTTTGTTAATGAAATTACGGTATTTAACTGTAAATTTAAGTTAAAACCTAAAACGTTGCTACTGTATTTTTTACGGTAAAATTCCGGCAACCACAGCTGCCGGTTTTTTACCGTAAATTTTACGGAATTTTTTTTACAGTGTATATTTGCGCATTCTCATGAACAAGGCTCATACATACACACATAGTTAAACCATTAGTTTTTCCATACGTGTTATGTAATGAGATAATATATATATATATATATAATTGAATAACGTATAATTTTTTTATTTAATTTTCGGAACATTCTTTTAGAACATTCACGAGTACGATTAACATTCCCCCAACATCTTTATTCCGATATCCTTTTATTTATTTATTTGAGATATACAGCTATCACAGTAGTGCCATCTGCCAACATAGCTATGATAATGTGTCTCAGCTGTCCATGTCCCAGCAAACTCTTCCCAGAGTTTAAAACTTCGCCTGTCTACGCACAAAGTCATGTTTGTTAAAGAAGGGCATAAACCGATTGCACTCATATATCATAATTTAAGAAGAAAGTGCTTCGTTTTATTCGCATGCAATGAACAAATGCAAGGGGCTTTTTATTGAGGACCGTTGCGCGCGGTGGACCACACACACCGTTGTGACAGCGTTTAAATGCGTTATCCACGGTCAGAGAGGAACTCCATTCCAAAAATACTGTCTGTGGAAACCCAAGCTCCTAGAGACACAGATGGGATATGTGCGCGCTCACTGGACGTCACCTGGGGTCCAAAAACTATGCACTGGATTGCCAGTGGAAATCCACAATTCAGTAAATCAGTTCATAGCTTTTCGCTGAAGATCCAGACCCTAGTGCATCAATGTAATAATATTAAGAGATGTGAAAATATGAAATATTGTCTGAAGTAGGCTACAGAAGAAATCTTTGACCAGTGAACTGTTATGTATGAATAAAAAGAATACTTATATAAGTAATGGGTGGAGACTTGATGAGGAAGTGATTTGCTACCAGAATACAAGTGCAATGTGAGAATTAAAAAGAGTTTCTGAATTCCTGAATTGGTAGCCCTGACTCTTCTTTAATGTCCTCTGTCTTTATAGGTAAAACAGGGAAGACACGACATGAACTAAACTGCAGTTACAAAAACATTTAGGATAGAACTCACTATGTTCTAATTTAAGACAGGTTTGATAAAACAAAACATGCAAACGAAAAAACTGCCGAGAAAAAAAATGGACTTTTGAAGTCAAACTGTCTTTGTGACATGTTCCCCGTAATAGCTCCAAACCAGTAAAAAAACGAAGTAGCCTATGCTACACAGATATTTTGAAGATTAGACGCACTTTTTCTTCACAAATTGCCGGTTTAATTTGTGGTAAACATCAAACAGCGAGGCTGTTTCGGTTGTTCTTGTTTGTGTGTTCACGGGGTTTGTAGATCTGAGAAAATATTCGGAGGGTGTGTAGGCCTAGCTGTCTGTTGGGGGCGAAGGTGGGGGACTGAACGTACTTTTCACAAGTTCAACGGTATTTATTTGAAAATGATGAAAAGGTATGACTCAGACTCAGCGTGCACATTCCCCCAGTCATGCCGCCGAGAAATAAATTAAATCAAATTTAAATTCAAAATAATAAATTAAATCAAAATGACTTATGTTTCCATTGCTCACAATGCTAAACGTTTTAGCCCATTTATTTATATATTATGAGCTAGATGTTAGCTACATAGAAATGATTTACTGCGATCGTTAAAGCACCAGCACAGATGTTTTTTTTTTAAAAGAACGAGATAATAAAATGTAAATTGTTTTGTAAGCCTTGTATAGCTAAATGATTCCAATTAAAAACCTTTGGGCTAATTTAAGAATCTACTCAATTTTTTTATTAGGCCTATTGTATGCTATTTTGTTTTCTTTATTCCTATAATTCTAAAAACGAAGTTGAACCAACAAGCGTAGCGGGGGATTCATTATTTTAGTTCAAATAGGCCCACAATTAAAAATGGTTTCACTCACCTTGTTCCCAGCATGCACTGTGTGAATAATGGGCCTATATATGTTTGCATTGTTTGGCCGTTCTACAATTTTTTTTCCACTACACTAGTCTATGTAGACATCGAAAGGATAATGCTGCTTAAATCGTTACAAATTCTTACACCAACAGTTGTATTTAAAATGTTAAAATGTAGCAGTGAAACAGTATTATTATTATTTTTTTTAAAGAGGCCTATAATTCATGAAGCAGTAAATGAAGCAGCCTAAACTGGAGTGTTGTTAAACAATATTTCTGGAATTTTGGAACAGAATCATATATATACCGCATATAGTTTACCGCGGTTCATTAGCCCCCGATTTTTATTTTGTAATTTTTATTTTATGTTTTCTATTCATAGGCTAAACCAAATCTAGTTCCGAGCGTGGCGTGACGGCGGAAGACACAAGAAGCAATGTGAGTTTTTTTTGCAGTGATTGATGGCGAACAACATTCGTTTGCTCGTCTTACTCGCTTCCAAATGCTCCGCGAAATTGATTTTCTAGCAGGTGGTAGCAAAGCGACGAGTTATGGAATCCGAAGATTGTTGTAAACGGCAAAACAACATGCTTTATTTATCTATCCAAACTGGAACTTTTGTGGCGATTTCTAGGCCTTAAACCGACAGACATTCCTTTAAAAAGTTCACACGAGTTAGGCATGACCCTTAGTTTATTATTTCTAAATCACATTTTGAAGGCTATTTCTATTGTGGTTTTTAAGAACTTGAGAAAAACGTCGATTTACAGGCCAAGATCTCAATCAAGTGTAACTCGCTTTTGAACTTGACAGTTGCTAATTCCTGCACTCCGCCGAGCCTGCCCAGGCGCGCCTCGTGTTGCATGTTGAGGACCATAGCGGTGGAGACAATGAAGGAGAGAGAAAACCTCGAGTCCAACAACACGGACGCTGCAGGTCCAATGGAGATGCCATATGACGCTGCAAAATGTTGCCCGGGCCGGACAGAGAGCTTCAGAAAACAAGCGATTCCCATCAGGATAAGGTGCTCACGATTCTCTGTCGTCTTTGGTTTGATTAATCGGTTACAAAAAAGCCACGGCATGCCCACAACACACCACCTAAACAGTCACTCAACTACTGCTCTCAAATTCTCAAAGCCACCGCTAAACAGAGATTTAGAGCGAAAACGGAGTATATGAAACAACAAGGCTTACATTTCCTTTTATTAAAATAGGCTAGCTAATTTTATTAAAACTTAGGGCTATTATTATTATTATTATTAGGCCTATTATTATTGTAAAAGTGTAGGCCTATTCTTCCAGCTAACAAAATAATTTTGCACCATGATTTTGTCTTCCAACATAGGTCTATGTGTAAATTTCTTTATCCTCATCTGTTTGTAATTAGGCTATAGGCTCAGTCCGTAGGCCTAGATTAAATATTGTAAATACAATGTAATTATTTTTTGATAGTTTTGATATAAAATACATCAGACTACCGGTGAAATTATTACGCTGTCATATGAAAATGTTGAATGTTAATGCATTTTGTGTGTTACATACATTACAGATATGAACCGCGCAGCCTGTCAAGTAAAAAAGGCTAATTGAGAGTGGTTTTATTGTGAGAAGCTTGTGAGAACACATAATGGCGAAGCAAATTTGACGACGCAGGTTTGATGACTTTGGTTACTCCGTTGGAGCTCTGTTTCTGATTCACGGAACAAGAAAAAAAAAATGTGTAGGACTACGATGCTGACTTTTAGGGCAAAATAAGGAGAAAATAGACGCCACGTTTTGCATGTACAAAAGAGGTTTATTTGAATACAGTATTAAAAAGAATAATATCTGATATCAGGTAAGTCTCCCATTACCTAGTATATCCCAAGTCCCATCATCAAAGAAAAAAAAATTCTGTTATCTGGATACTTTAATCGAATAACATCTTTGGCGCGAAGAAATATTGCTTTTAACAGCACAAAAAAACAAGAATTTAGATAAAATGCAAAGTGACTAATTTGACTTGTAGTGGCAACGATTTCAAACAACAAACCAGCGCGATCCATTTAGATTTTAATAGCATCCTCAAAATCAAAATGAGGCTTCCACATATTTGTATTGTAAAAAATCACCCGCCCGTCCAAACAGGTTGATAAAGTAACTATAATATCCCTTTATAACGTCTGGTCAAGTAATTTGAGTTTTTCCAGCTTCACTTTGTCTTCCGACCCTCTATTTCACTCTCCGGGTTCTCCCCTTTTCTCTCTCTTGCTGTCTTTGCTATAGTTGCCGTCGTCTTCTTGAAGGGTGGTGGTGGAATGGTTGTACAGTCCCTGCGCCATTAGCTGCACTGCCAGGCCGTTCTTGAATCCGGTGGTTTTCTTGATTTTAGCCCGTTTGTTCTGGAACCAGATTTTAATCTGCGACTCGTTCAGCTTGAGTTCGTGCGCCAGGGCCTGCCGCCGCTGCTCCGTGATATAGCGGCTCGCCTGGAACTCAGCCTTCAGTCTTTGGAGCTGCTCAGCTGTGAACGCCGTTCTGGGTCGTTTATCCTCACTGTCGTTTTTCTTCTTTTTCAATTTCCGGGTCCTTGGGCCTTGTGTGGAGACAACAATGAGACGAATCCATGAATATCAACCATCTCACTAAATGCCAAAACCATTTTGGACTACACACACAAAAGGGCAGTGGCGTGTTGTTGAGTGTTGTTGTCTGTGATCACTAGAATAAATAAACATCAAAATTATTCTAACTTTTTACAACAATAATCAATAAGCCTTTTAAGAACTGACAGGGACTACAGAGCTAACTCTGTTGACCCTGGCCAATAAATAAATAAATAGAAATAAAAGATAGGCTACGCGAATTGTTGCTTCAGTTTGTGGGAAACTATTAATGAAACTTCTACACATAATAGTAGGCGATTACAACACATGAACAGAGGAGTAGTTCAGCATATGAACTACATTGTTATGTTGCTGGGGAAAAAAAGAGGAAAAATAAATTATATTCGTTTTGACGTCTGAAGTTGACTTAATGCAAGCCAAGCGACAAAAGCCCAAATATAATGATGGAACAGAAATAGGTTAAAAAATGAAATAGGTTAGACCTATTAATATCATTATATACGTGACCTTCCTAAGGAATTTATTTATTTATTTATTTTCAATTTTGAACGGTGAATTGAGAAAACCAAGGGGGATAAAATTTACGACATTAAAATAAATAGGACTACGCTATTTACAAAATAGGCAGTGAGATCTTGTACATAATAATAATAAATAATAATAATAATTGTCACTAGGCCTAACCTATGGCAGCACAAAATCACAGCCTCAACGCTAAAATGCGAGATCAGTCACACGCAACAGATAATTTTTTTCTGTTTTATTAAAACGGATTATTTTGTCCATTTCGTAGACTTAAATATATTTATTGGGCAATATTAGTTCTTTTGTAATTATCTTGTAAATATCTAAAGTTTATTATTAGGCTAAACGACGTTTATTTATTAATATATAGCTAGGCTATAACATGTAAATCTTAATTCCTTGGAAACCATCGGTGGAGTGTTATGTCTGGATCGTGCATGCTGCAATCCTATTTTATGTTTCATAACTTGGTAAATTTGGTCTGGTTTGATGAACATGAGGCATTATTTTTTTATATGATTATGGTGTGTGTCAGCTGGAATATTTCTACGATCGAAAGTACGATATTCGATATTCATAAGGTAATTTTCCTGCTTTTGGTTCATGCAACAAAACATATGGCCTATACATAAAGAAAAGAAGAGTATTATTTTTGTTATTAGTATTATAAAGAGTATTATATGATTTGTTACCAGATGCCTTACCAGATGAAGGTCGATCAGAGTATCTCGTGCAATAAACCCAGGCGGGCCACATAAGCTCTTGGGTGTCCTTACTGGGCGAGGAGGTTTCACCTGGGCTATTCAAAGCAACGGATGGCGCTGAGACGACCCCAGATTTTGCTGCGTTCCCTCTATCGGCCTCGCCTACCTTGGACTGCCTTCTGCTGGCTGGAGACGAAACGGTGGACGAGGCAGAAGATGAAACACTGTCGGTACTGCAGCTGGAATCCGGACAAGGAGTGCTGGGGACAGTTGGACAACGCTCCCTTTTGCAGCCGAAGTCCGGTCTGAGGATGTTGTCAATGAAAAAGTTGGTGGTTCTGTGCGTGTGGTGCGCAGCCTGCAGCGGGAGCAGAGGTAAGCAATAATTACCACTACTATATCATTGTAGCCTATAGGCTATTAAAATATACTAATTGAATGTCTAATTTAAATGTAAACTATATGCTTGTTCTTAATGCTATAAATTGTATATAGGCTACTAATATATAGCCTACTAAAACAAGTAGCCTATATGGCTACGTCACTGTGTAATAAAATAATACGTTAGCATTTAATTTAGATCTCATTCAGGACGAGTGAAGCCGACTGGCATAGGCTATATAGCCTCGTTCTCAATATTTGGATGCTTGAAATACTTATCGCGAGAATGATCTCTTTGCACTTAATTAATTTATAATTAGGGCTATTGCCGGCTAATTCTGGAGAGTGGGCTATTGTGAGGCGGCGTCGGTTAAGCGGTAAATGGCTGAATAGTCCACTATCTCTCTCGCAAGACGCGCCTTAAGAACTCCTATAAAAACATAATTTATAGGTTTTAATTAGCGTGCATTCACCGCGATCAGCTGGGCGTTCATCATACAGCACAGTTAAAAGCGCCTGCCACAATGCACGCAAGAACCGTTTAATCAAAGCAGCTTTGCAGCGGCCTCACATGCGTGAACGTCCTGATGAGGCTTCGCTTACCAAAAGCTGTATTTGCATAAACGGCTTAATTGACAGCTAAATGTCCTGTGATTAATTTTACCGCTCACGTGGCAGAGCTTTAGTAAAACATATGATGAATGTATTTTTTCATTGTTAAACAAAATGTAAACGACCCCTGCTTAATTCACTGGATAGCTCCTTAGGTTGTGCTATGCGTTTGGTGTCAATTTCAACAGCTTAAATTTTTTTTTTTTTTTAATTTACAGTTTCACAAACTATAACTATAACTATAAACCAAGCCATATATTCCCAAAATATCAGGTATTTTCGAGACTTGTAATATGTAAATAGGAAAATCCTTATTCTTAATTTGTGGTAGGCCTATTTTAAACGTAACTTTAAATCTTTCTGAATGTCAGTGGATATTTATTTAAAGTAAATAGAATTTAAAAATCAGGTTGAATAAGCTTATATGGGACCTGTTGTGACCTGCAGAACGCGATGAGACAGTAACGAGGCATGTCATCTTTTTTTTTTTTTTGCTTGGTTAACATGCTTGGTATAGGCATATGCCTTATTCAAAGTTCTTGCCATTCCGTTTAGACATTTGGACCATGGAAAGGTGTGTAAAAGTAGACAGCGAGTAACGATCACAGATATTGTTACCGTGTACAGTGGGAGGCCCTTTGGGGTCCACACTGCGGCCGGGCAGAGCACATGCGTTTAGTCATGCGTGAAGAATGTGCGTCTCATGCTCGCAGAACAGATGTGGACCGTTCAGAGGTGTTCATATTATTCTATTCTGTTCTATTCCATAGCGATTTTGACCTACGTTTCCACAGATATAGTAAGTACTAGGCTTAAGTTCATAAATTAGGCCACTAAACGCCAGACTTGTTGGGCCATCGTATCCCAAGACTGAAAAAGCACAGTGTCATAATCTCTTTATGAAAATTCGGTTCAGAACATTTGGTGTTAACTTTTTAAAAAAAAGCATTATTGTAACATTAGCTACTTATGTGACATAGGCTACCGCATGGCCAATATGTCTGAGATAGGCCTATTATAAAATTGAATAAACTTGTATATAGGCCTAAAACCTCCCTCATGCAGCATTTTCAAAGTCTCCTGGTTGTAAGACTAGTTTTAGCAGACCATCAGCAGAATATATAATGGCATCGCTTTTAACAAAAATTATGATCTACAGTCTGTTTGTTGGGCTTGCATACCAGGTTGACCTTGATGAATATGACTAAAGAGTTTGGAGGATCTGAAGCTGTATTTTGCGTCCTCTCGTGGCCAGTTAGAATATTGACGCTACAGTTCTGAAGTAGCTTAGCACTTGCATGGAAGTGATCAGAGATCCCGAGGTAATGCGTGAACTGATTTCAGCGTTTTCAAAGACAAGAGGCACGATGAGTCAATGCATTTTGATCATTGCAAAGTCATTTACTGTATTCTATGTCTGATAATAAAAAGGGATGGTAAAAAATCACTTTAAAATGTTACTACATCATATTATAAACCTATTCACTATAATGTCAGCAATTTTACAAGAAAACATGTGACTCTGTAATAGTAATTTATAAATAAGCGCATAAATGATTGGCGTTAACAAAGTGCATTTAGTAAATACATTTACAGTTACTATCTAACACTTTCCCCTGCTGCATTAATGTAAGACCAGGGAATAACATGATCCCACAGTCCACGACCTGCACATGATAACACTGAAGCGCTTATTTAACTTGATTAACCAAGCTGGACCGTAATTAATACTTCCTTCATCACTGACTAAAGCATATACTACGCTGTTCGTCATACGTCTCTACACCAAAAGAGGGCAGTGAAAGACCTGATTGTGTTCATCTGTAGACGTCCGTATAAAGGTTTCATCCTGTTCAGCAAGACAATTACGTTAACCTCCTGAGACCCTGTTGACCTCATATGAGGACATTATATTTTGGTGTATTTCTCTGAGACTGTACATGCCACAGTTTTAAGTCTGGATGTCCTGCACAGAGCACATTCAGGGCTTTTCAGAGATACTAAATGTTTGGATGTTTCACCGTGACCACTCCCTCTCCTTGGTCTTCAAATATGTCTGATATTAATTTAGTGACACTCTTATGGAAATATGATAATATTTTGTAATTATCATTTAAATCTGTCTAATTTTTAAACTGTGTGTCATAAATCAACATCTCAGGAAAATGTTATGGGGTTTCAAATCAAAATATGACTTTCTGTTACGAAACAGGATGTTGGTTTCATACGTTGAGAATCATCTTTATACAAAGTTTGGTAAAAAAAAAAAATCCTGAAAACTAAAAATGTATTGGTGATTTAAAAAATCTATCGTTTTTGCCTATGCATGTTCATTCATGTCTTTTAATTTTAATTTTTTTAATTGAGTCCCGATGTCCTCTACCGAGGACATAGCATAACTTATGAATGAAATATTGATTTATCATTGATTTAATTTGTTTATGCTCTAAACAATGTAAAGACATGAAAAAAACTATTTTTTTCCTAAAAATCTTTTCTCGGGTCTTAAGAGGTTAACATGGCAAGAACTTTCCCTGAACCAAGAACTAACTATTAAATAAATTTCACGTGAGTATAAATGTGTCTGATTTAAATTTTTCAGTTTCTTATGATTTTTTTTAAATAACAAGTAGGCCTATTATTTGTATTAAATAATAATAATAATAATAATAATATTTTTTTAAATAAATATTACTTTTAAAAAATAATTTAAAAATTGTAAACAGGTGGGACAAAAAAATCGGATACAGTCAAAATATTATGTCCATTAAGCACAGCCTAAGATTATTTTAATTCTTTTTAGTGCATATTGACTTTCTCTCTGGGATGATTTGACATACTGACACTTGTGAATTTGAGCAATTAATTTCATTGTATTACGTTGTTTTACATACTTTTGCACTATATTCTAGTACTCAGCTAAAATTTTGTATGGCTTTACTGAATGCATTGTTTTTACCCTTGGATTAATTCTAATTTCTAAGTTATTGTCAAATAATACATACTGCTACATGAATGCGTGTTGTGATTAAACATTTCACTGTTGAATTTACACAATGAGATATTTAAAAATAGGATAGTTCATCCTAATAATGAAATGGAAAGGAAGTCAGATGAAATAAATAAGTATAATTCAGGGTTCAGGAAGCAATAAGGGAAATGAAATTAGTCAATTAAATGAGTGAAAGTTAACTACTTTTGATATTAGCATTAGTTCTGCAGTGACTCAGAGTGCAGAACAGAGACAAACAGCTAGCAGAAAGTACCACTGTCTTCTCTTTAAGAAAAAAAAAGCACTGAAAAAAAAATCCAACAAAGGGTCACTGGACTCTTCATGAGGAAAATGATTACTTGCACAATTAAATATATAGCTGTTTCATAAGAAAAGCAGATGGAACTGGGTGAAACTCTCAAATGACGCCAGCACTGCCCAAATGAGACCTTCCACAAAATCACGTGTTATAGAGTAAAACATGACATTTTAGAAAAGGGGTTCATATCCTAAGGCTGAATACTTTTTAGCTACAAGGCTAATAAAAAGAGGTAAGCAGCAATGTAACAAAAGCACTGATAAAAAGTCATGTTTAAATAATCATATTTATATGGCAATAATAATAGAGTAATATAAAAAGCTCTGATCTTGGATTTTGATTGGCTAATACAACATAAAGCAGTACACAATTTAGTAACAGCTGACACAAAACAGTATCGCAAAACAGTATATCACTGCATAACACCCATAGAGAACACATTGTATTGTTGTTTGCGTTAAGGACATGAAGCATCATATTGTCACACATCTTGCTCAGGACAAAACAGACTAATAGGATGTGGCTGCTAAAGTACAGAGGTTACTCTCTGAGTTTTTGACATCAGTTTTTGCTGACTTCCGTCATACACCAGCTGAACGTGCCTACAGCCATATTTGCAGTGTGGTTAATGGAGGTAAACTTGTTAGTACTGAAATCATAAATAAATTGCTAGTAATTGCTAATTGCTCTTTTATTGGACACACCCATTTTGGGTTTTGCAGTCTTTACTAATGAGCTGATGAGTTGAATCAGGTGTGTTAGGCCTAGTTCAGACTGTCAACAAAATCAGATTTTTTTGCATGTCCTGATATTTTCGACATAGTATGCTCTGGTGAGCCCGGTCTCATGAAAATGCGTATCAATAGCACATTTATTTTGTTTTGTTATTTTACATTTATACACAGAAACCGACGTTGGCGTGCATACGATACGCACATGTTTGATGTGTATATAATATGCATTTTAGCGTACATATAATGTGCAACTACCCCACACCCCTAAACCTACCAATTGCGTATCATATGCACGCCAAAGTACATTTTTTGCATGTAAATAGTATGCCAAATACAAAATCGTGCCATTGAAACGCATATTCTTGAGATAGGGTTAGCTCTGGCTGCTCAAATGGGGTTTCAAATTTTCTTTTGTGTTACTTTCAGAGGTGTAAAGAGTACCTCTTTGATACTCAGTACAACTACAAAGTACCCGAAAAGATACTCAAGTACAGTAACAAATTACATTTACTCCAATATTTACACCTCTGGTTACTCTAAACGCAACACACAACGATAACGTCAAAACCGGTGATGGAAATGCCAGACTTTATACAATATTCAAAGGAGTCAAAGCCAACTGTGTCTGCAGCACACACGACATCACAATATATACCAGTCTCCTCCGGCGCTGAGATTTTCTAGTGTGACGCATTTTTCCTGCATCTGTTTTGAAAGCCTCGTCGCCAGTGTTGGGAAGGTTACTTTGGAAATGTAATAGGTTACAGATTACAAGTTACCCTGTTTAAAATGTAATAAGTAGTGCAACAATTTCAATTACTTTATTGCAGTTTTTCCTCAATCGATTTGACACATTTCTCCAAACTCAGGTCACTGTTCTGAAAACAGTTAACACAGTGATCTGAATATTTTGTAATTTTCCTAAACAGATTGAACGTTTTCAATTCATTTCATACAAATTACAAATCCTGCAATTGTGCACATTGTTTCTCAAAACAATGTGCACAAAACTCTCTAATGTTTTCACAATAGTTAATACAACCAACCAATATTTTAAAATAGCTGAAAAAGGTTTTACAGAAATCACATACATTTATGTACCATTTGTCCAAACACAACAAACAAAACTCTGTAATTTGTCATTCTATCAAATGAACTTGGTATATTTTCGATTGGCCCTAAACTGATAACTATTCGGTTCATTATACACACACAACACAGGAAATGCAGTAAGTATACAATAGGGAAAGTATACAAATAGCAAGAACAAATATGCAATATATATATATATATATATATATATATATATGGGTGGGTAGCCTGTGATTGTTGATAGTACAGATTCCTCCTGGGACAACTTCTGTTACTTACTGTAAATGTCTCACACAGTGGACGGATTACACACACACAGCTGAATCCAATCAGACATGCTACATAAGCCATGGACTTCCTCTCTTTCACGGCCGAGTATTGTAAGCGCATATCGCTACCCTAGTCGATAGCTACTTTGCAGAGCCAGTTCCCGGTCCTAGTTTGGTCTAGTTTCATGTACGCCCACTCACTGGACTACTCTTGTGTCTTGCCCTCTATATACCTGTTTGCCATTATCTGACCCTTGCTTGTTTTGACTTTGTTCTA